CTACGCGTAGAACAAGAAAAAAAACAGCAGTGGGAAGATATTTGGTTGAAAAAGCTTGAAATTATTAATAAGCAAAGTTCTCTCTCACTGAGCGGCGGTTTGGGGCCCTCGTTTTCGGAGTAGTGTAACTCAACACCGGGCTGGCCGGGGTCCAGAGCTTTATTTAGCCTCCACCTGTCGCTTGTGCACACACACGCGCACATACATCGCAGGATTGGGAGAGCAAGGCATTGTTGGCTTTCGTCTGTCCTTGACGAGAGTTTTTCGCGAATGATCGTCGAGCTGATTAATTGCCGATGCGATTGAAATAGAGACGTTCACGTTTTTCGCGAGGGAAAGATTGCCAAGCCGATTGTTGCCGTGAATTTACGAGGGGAAATCTTGTTAGGCGCGAGAGACCTAGTTTTGACGGGAGAGCGCCAAAAGAGTTATTCCAAGAGTTTTCTACTCATCTTTCGCGTCCGATCTCGCGGGCACGTCTATTTTTACCGATCCCGGAAAATGGTCCACTTTGATACTTTCACGTCGCGATAAACGATTTACTCTCGTCGTGCGCGAGCCAACGCACAGAAAAAGTCGTCTGCAAGCTCGACTCGAGGCTCGCGAATATTATTAGAGATGATCGTGTCTCTCACGCGGATGTTTACACTCGTTGGTTGTATCTGTTACTTTCACATTGCAAGTACACATTTTCTTTTTTCACAAAACTTGTGGTATACCGTAGTGAATCCGCCGGCAGTACGTGACGCGTACACCTGCCGCGCGTACGAAACAGCGCAAAAGGAAAATATCAAAAAGTCGCGTCACGTGTCGAGCATGCGATGCTTCGACGTGATATTACGTAGCTAGCTACCTACCTATATATATAGCATTGAAGCAACTTGACTTTTCGGCGTATGCGACGATGTTTATCTGTCGACGGGGTGCTCCGCGCGCGCACCGCTTACATTACTGCAACGTTGGGTAAGACCTGCCGTGCGGCTGATCGACCAAGGATTTTTATTTATTTTCAATTTTAATTTATTAGGACAGCGATAATTTCTTTATAGAGCTTACTTTTCCTATTCCCACGAAATATTTGGCGCGTGACATTCAAGTTTCTCGAATTAAACGTCGCTTCACGGTAATAATTTATGCATCAAAACTTTGGAAGAGAAAAGCTCACTCGAAAAAGAAAACCATCTCACCGGCTCGACTGCGCACGAGCAAACGACAAAAGTGGGAAGTCCGAGAGATTGCGACATATAGACACAGGCGAAGGGTGTGAACGAGAAAGCAAGAGAGGGTCGGGAGGCGGAGATACGCTCGCGGATTGGCGGATGATCTCAACGGATTATCCTCTTACGCGCCGGCGCAATGTAGTGTCCTGCGCAGATAGCGGAGACTCGCATGCATAAGCATTTTGCGATGTCGGACGAACTCGGCCGAAGAGAACTTTTATTTCATTTTTTTTTTTTTTTTTTTTTGAACTGTTGAATGCGATTTCGGACACGGACGGGCACGCACTGTTTAATACCGAACTAGATCTCGCTGAAGCGCGCGCGCGCAATGCAATTAATCGCGCAGAAAGAAAAAAGGGAGAACGGACGTTCGCACGTAGCTACACGATTCACAGTCAATCCCGCAACATCGGCGACAAGTTCACGCGCGTCAAATAATAATTCAAGCGCGAGGGGCAGGTGGGCGCGCGCGCGCCTCCGCGCGACCAGACTTGCCGTGTCACCCTCCTCGTTGTTCGTGAAACGGGAGGGGGGAGGGGGGGGGGTAGATATGAAGAAATTGTGGGCGTAATTTGGACAGCAGACAAAATGACTATTCGCGTATGCATTGGCTCAAAGATGATTATTGCGCGTGATTTGACGTACGTTGTTTTGGAATAAAAAAGACCGAATAAAAAAGTGATCTATTTTTCGACAGTTCAACGCGTTCCTCGCGCGAGCTTGGATTTTTAAAGAAAAATTCGAGTCGTAATCCTGCCTCGCAAATAACAAGCGATACACTTTCGCGTAGCAAACTACGCGAAGAATAGACAAAAGCTAACAACACTCAACACCCCCCTCCCATCTAAGTATCCCCTTGGTGTTACTAATGAGGTGCACGCGTTTCAAACGACCACAAATTGGCAACAGCGGCTTTCAGTAAAAAGCGGGAAGGGGGGGGGGGGAAGGAGGAGCGAGAGATGGTAATCGGTGGCCAGCGGTCACTTTGCGCCGGAAATCGTGGGGGGCGCTTTTACATGCGCGGGGGATGGAATTCTCGTGATTTTTGTCTTCGGGGAAAAACGTACATAACGTTTGATTGCAGGCTATGCAAGTAACGACTGCGTCATTGAATTTTTCATTGGCAAGGATGCACGTTAAGGGTACTTGAATCCAGTGACAACAAATAGAATTGTTCCTATGTTTCCATGTTTGTTATTTCCAAGAAAGGTCATTAAAATAGCTTTCCAGCCAATTTCTTTGGAAATAGTAATTATCAGTAATAGCTGCCCTTTCTATTGTTGGTAAGTTGGCTGACGGTGACGTATTTCAACATTCATCTTGGTCTTCAACTTTTAAGGTGAACGCTTTCTTTGTAATCGTCACTGAATTTTTGCGAATCAGGCGTAAAGGATACCAACACTGAATATCCTGAGTTTGCGTTGATCTAGCAGCCATTGATACTGAAAAAATACAGCCAAAGTCGGCATCCAAGTCGGCATCGATACGTTGCAAGAGAGAACAGAGAAGAGGGGGTCAAAGGCGATTGCGAACTCGCGGGTGGGCGGGCAGGTAACAGGGAAATTGCGCGGAAAACGAGAACGAAGCTTCATGCAGAAACGACGTCCAGCCTTCGCTTTGGAGAGACACGCGAGCCATCCATAATGTAGGCGACGAGCTAAGAGATGCGACGGCAAGATAAATTCGATAGGAAAAAAAAGAGAGAATGAGAGTACGGCAGGAAAAGAACCAAATTTAGTTCGAACTTTTCAACGATCCCAATCAACGTGTCTCGCGTATAAATCATAATTAACCTGACTATTGTCTGTTTTATCGTACGATCAAACGGCATTAGTCGGGGATATGATCTTTAGAACATTCATGTAAAAATACAAAAGCAGAGAACAATACCAGCAGTCCGGTTTTTCGCTAAACCTAATCGATAATGTGCAGTGTATTCGCAAAAAGATAAAAAAAAATCGAACGAGCTGGCAGGTCAGTTGCAGGACGACGATTATGTGTCTGTTTGGTGTCGTCCGGTATATATCGATTTGAGGTTCTCATGAGCCGTTGGTAGGTCGGATCGATTCCATCTATGCGTGTGCCTTTGGTCGCGGTAGGCTTTGTGCGCGTGTAATAATAATGAAATAAAAGAGTTCAGGGTTGTTTCCTGTACGTCGATTTCCCTTTTTATTTTCATTTACTACAATATTTATCGTATCACCTGAAGTGTGTTTGCTTGTAATTAAATTGCGGGCATTAGGAGTTTGAAAGTTCCACGTTGAAGGCTGTTGTTAAGTCGTCTGATGATGATGATGATGATGATGATCCATGTGCCCATACATTTTTGATTGATTTTTTTTCTCTTTCTTGGTTAACGATACAAGAAACCCGTTTAAACACATCCTGTGTCAGGCGTGCACTGTTCTTTTCCTTGTAGGGTTTCTGAGAAAAACTGGGCTCCATACACTTTCGATCGCGATCGATTTTTCTGTAGATTAACGTGCATGTACTTTCTTCTTATAGTTCAGCTGCTTATAATCACCTGTCGACTCGTTCATAGATTGCTCATTAACCCTTTCGTACACACAATCGCACACTAGCACACACCCTAATAGGGAAAGTAATTTGACCAGGACGTTTCCCTAAATTATTTATATATAAAATATTTTTCCGTCCTGCCTGATTATTTACCGCGACTAAGGTACTAACTTTGGTGTTAGATAATCGTGTGTCGTGTGCCGTGTGCCGACAAGTATTTATTCATGCAGTACCTACACGTTTGTCGTTGGTTTGCTGTTTCTTGTTTTTTTTCTCTGTTACTTTTTTTGTTGGCGATGACTTCGAACTTCTTTTGATTGTTTTGTATTCGCCTATCACAAGTGTTTTTCTTCTTTATTTTGGTTTAATATCTTTTTTTATGTAATTTTGATTCTTTATTTTTTTTTCTTTGTTCAATGATATGCAAGAGCGTCGATATAACCATCTCGCTTATCTTATATACGTTATACGTAATCATGCTTCATTCACTGTTTTTAAGATTTGATCCTTTGCCTTGGATGCGATAATATATCTTTGTATAATATTATTACGATATGTTTTGATGAGTCTGCCTTGTTCTATCTACAAATTTAAAAATCTCTTTTCGTAAGAAAGCGTGTTACCATCGACGCTCCTTGCCAGGCTCTTTCACTAAAAAAAGGAGGTTTTATACTCTGTAAATTGTTTGGAATGGACATTAAAGCTCTTTTTGGCTTACGTTAGGATTTTATTAATAAAACGAGAAATATACCCAAAGAAAGCAGATACTTTTTCTTATTCAACAATTTAAATATGTGCATCAAACGTATCTCAAGAAAATAAACGAAAATTGAGGAAAAATGTCTGCTTAGCTATAAGATGTAAAATATTAGATATGGTGACAAGGTCGTAATAAAATTACTAACATTTTTGTTGGTTGACGCTATATCGCCCACTCTAAAAAATAATTTTATAAATAATATACATCGGTCCTGGTTGAGTTTATTCGAATATTAAATGAAAGAAACAAGTAAATCGTTGAAAGCGATGGTTTTTCTTCAAGTTCCATCTAGCGAATAACTCAACCAAGCCGAAAAGAGCAACAAAAGCAAAAGAGATATACAGAAAAAGATGTCCATCCCTTATGTTGAAACAAAAGAGAACAATTCAAGCCCGCCAACAAAAATCATAGTTCCCCCAACAAGCACACGAAAAAACAACTGACCATCTGAAATAAAACTAACAATCGACCCTTGTTTTCTTCTCCTCTCTATCTTACAGAGTACCGCCAGGTTACGTGTATCAGTCACCATATTTGGCAACAACAGCCCCGGGCGGATTGGTGCCATTACCAACTACCCCGTTGAGTCACGCAGCGGCAGTAGCGGCAGCGTCGCAATTTTACGAATATCAGAACGCAGCGGCCGCTGCGGCAACGTATCCGGCGGCTTCGTACAACTTCGCCGCTGAAGCTTATCCGTACACAACAGCTGCAGCTGCTGGTATGTTGGGACCAAAAGTCGCGGCTAAAGCACCTGAACAGCCGGCTGCATCGCCACAACCACCACAGAATGGCGCACTACTCATGCAACATCGACTTGCCGCCGAAAAAGCTGGTCTTCTGCCGCAGTTTCTTCTGCGCGGCAACGGTAGACATTATTTGCACACATCGTGTTTCATAGAGACAAATGCTGGATAATTGATTATTCTATTCTTCTTCTTTGAGACTTTCTTTCCAATGGGCTTTTCTCTTTATAGTGCTTCGTGGGCCTCGTTAAGCACCAATTTTCATCTTTCATCTTCTTGCACTCGTTGGTTTCACATGTCATGCTTGTAATTTTTCATGGAATATTATGAATGAATAGCGACATGTGAAATTAAAATTAACACTTTCACAACACTCTTTTTCTTTTGCACTCTCAAACGTAGCAATGTTTGATGTTTGTGGCTCTATTCTTATTCTATAAGTACCTGAAGGGAGAGAGAAATTTTTAATTCGACGGTGCTGCAATTTTCAAATACTGACATTTCAAATTCAACTGTATTTTTTTTCTAATTATTGTCGGTTTAATCGGTAAAAAAAGTCCTTTATTCTGGTATATCGTTTGAAAAACCTTGTTTTAAATAATGATTGTACGAAGTCAAAAACACCTACATTTTTATATAATCTATTACATTAATTACGGATAGTTAACTCAGTAATTGCCTTCTTTATCAATGCATAAGTAGTACGGTTGGCCAACTTTAATGCATATTCATATTGACATTGACGGACAAATGTATGGATCAATGGTAATTTAGCTGACACTAAATTATTTTGTTGCCACAAAAAGACCCGAGAACGATTTTCGTGATAATTGAATTTATTTTCTGGATAATGTGGGTATCCAAAGTAAAAATCTATTTCATATTTTCCGATTCATTACCATTTATGTATTCTTTTTATACCAAACAATCCATTTCATACATTTCTTTTTTATTTATTTTTTGTTTTGCATGCACGTTGACTTTCACTTAATACTCTGTTGAGCATGTCATACAACTTTATTTATTCTGAAAATAACAATGCAAACTCTTTCATTGCCATTAAGATTGTACGGTAGAAAAATCCATTGCAATTTTTTAATTTCTCATTCACTTTGTCGTAGTTAGAAAGAATATTTTGTTATTAAAATCACGAGAAGAAAAAACAAAGAAAACAGTTAGAAAAGCGTTCAAACGAAAAGTCTCGTCTCTCCCCCTTCGCATTTGAAAACTCTCACATACAGCCACAATTATAAGCATTTGTCTCATCGCCGTTTCTTTCAAAATTACACAAAATTAATGACTGACAAATCTCTTCTTAAAACGTGATTAACTGGTTTTTCGCACAAACAACAAAAACCGAATGGACAGAAAGAAACAAGGTGATCTGCGACAGGTTGGTCGCAAAAAATAAAAAAAATAAACGATCGATGCTGTGCGGTATCATTGCCTGGCGTCTGTTGTTGTGCTGGTGGTGGTGGTAAAGCAAAGGCTGGCTCCTTTTTTTTATTAATTGATGCTAATTTTGTATGCTGTGATCTGGTCTTAACGTATCACAAATTTTATTTTACAATTGCAACCTTCAGACGTAATTCCAAGTCGTATCATTAAGGCCAGATAGTCATGAGCGAAGAGAGGGAGAGAAAGAGAGAAAGAGGCTTTTATCTCGCGAGTGAGGGTGATAAAAAAAATGAAATAAACGTGATGATGGTATCGCAACACCGCTTCGCTTATTGCACACATACGTGCACTCTCTCGCGTTACATTGTCGCTAAAAAATACAGACTGCACGCGCGCTTCTGTTTGTCTATACTTCTACTACGCGAATATGGATTTTTTTTGTCTGCTCCAGTAGCTGTAATACTTTAATTTTCTTGCTCGAAGCATTTAGTTATCAATTATGCTAATGGCGTTATCGCTATTATCGGCAATGACGCTCGTCGCTTCACTTTCTATCGTTCTGTATATTTCTCTATTCAGATGAAAAATGAATTATTCTCTCTCATTCCTCTCATCGTTGATGCATTATGAAACATGTCAAGTGGATAAGCAGCAGTGACCTCTTTCATTTTATTACCTTTCATGAATGTTTAATTTCTTCAATAACAACTTTTGGAATATTATGAGCTTAAGCTATAGAATCGAAAGTAAAAAATTGCAAAATATGCGCTGCTTATCAATTTGACAATTGTTCACGTCCGGAAGAACAACCAGCAAGCAATCGACTAATCAGCAATTTGTCTCAATCTTTGCAGCGAACGCAGCAGCAGCAGCAAGCTACGTGGCGCCGTACACGTACACGATCTCAGGCGCAGGTGGATTACCAACGGCAGCGACAGCCGCTGGTGCTTTTCCGGGACTTCCTTACCAAGCAACACCTCAGGAAGCGAGGCTTCAGTAATCTTAGCTCGTCTTGAAATTTTTGTTAGTTTTCTCTTTTTTCATCGAGATACGAGAAAAAAGAAAACTTGATCGACGTCGGTGATGTTTTTCATTGTGAATGGGAGTGGAAACGAGCTACGCAGAATGTAAAATGAAAAATTCTGTGACGATATATCTTAGACTTGCGAAGTCTCTTTCTCTCTCGTGCGATGAGATCTCGATCTTCCCCGTCTTTGTTTTCTTTCTACCATGGAGAGAGCGAGAGAGAGAGAGAGAGAGAGAGAGAGAGAGAGAGAGTGAGAGAGAAAGAGAGAGAGAGAGAAAGAGAGTGAGAGAGAGAGTGAGAGAGAGAGAGAGAGAGGAGGAGGACTAGCACAACGAAGCGCAACGATAGCTCCCAAAGACAGACAGCAAATGTTAAGCGTATTAGACGCTCAATCTATTTATATACACGTGGACAAGAATGAAGGCGAGTTTAGAAGTGGAGAGAGAAAAGAGAGCGAGAGAGCGCGGATAGTAGGTGTCGTGTACATGAGTGAACGTGAGTGGATGATGAGAAAGAAGCGTAAGACAGGTAAAGGAAAGGAGCGCGCCAGTTGAAAGCATAGTTTTTAATTATTATCAAATAATTAGCCTCGAGTCTAGACTTTTTATTAACATTGATTATTGTACTTCCTCCGAATCTCGATGCTCATGATCGTCCGGCACACATTTGTCTATGTATTTGTAGCATGCGAATCTATTCTGTCCCTTGATGGCTTATTACGTGACAAATGACCTTTTTCTCTTCCCCTCTCTCAAAGCGAAATAACATTGTCATGCTATATTTTATCCTATCCAATTGTAATTGTTATAATCAGAGACGTTCACTATTATTATAATGTAAGCTAGAATAAAATCAAATGAATATTCTCGAGCAACAATTTTTCTCTCTTCCTCACTGAAAAGACAGAAAAGTAAATATCGGCGAATCGGCACTAGAAACAGACTTGTTCGTTAATCATACCAATGTATCGTCCGAGCGCGTATAGAGGGACAATCGAAGTTACCTGATGATAACAAACATAATTGTTGTTGCCTTACTGACGACTGAGCTTGTGAACACAAGACCACGCGAAAAATAAGAACCGCAAAATCCACGCGATGCCTTTGCCAAGGTGAGAGCAGCTCACTGCGTGCCTGAAAACAAATATTAATTGCGAAAGTTGTATATCGTTGGTTGTTGTAAACTAGTCAGTTCGAGTCGAGTAGCGAGACAGACCGACAGTGAGGGTTGAAAAAAAAAGAATTTTCAATAATATACACAAAAATTTGTAGCGTAAACAGCTGAAGAATTACACACTTACACGAGGCTGTCTAGTCTTAAGCTTAGAGGCCTTGGCAACGTGTAGCTCTGCGCGGACTCGTTACTTAAATATTCGAGTATGAACGAATGATACGTCGCAGTCGCAGCACCACGACGGGGGGTCAATACGCGTAGGAGACAATTACATTTTTTTTTTAGATTGTAAGCATTCTAGACTTAGTCATGTCAAACGAATTGCAGATAATATTTCCTATAAATATTATTATTTTTATTATTATGATTGCCAACTGTATAATTTCATCATTATACTTATCATCACGATTATTATTTTATTTTTATTATTACTATTGACTAATAATAATTTTTTCTTGTACTTAATATTAAATAAATTTTAAAGTGGGTTACGTTAGTGCGACCACATTGGGTGGACTGATGTCCGCCTCCTTTGCTAGGCGTATTTCTTAGACATCGCATAATGTATTAGGCTAAAATAATTATATATATATATGTATATGTATATATATAAACTGTTATCTACAATACCTATTCACAATATGCGACAAAGAATTAGTTTGAACAAGAGAAAATTACGAAATATATTGTCTCTGAGAGAAAAAAATCAACGTTTATTTCATTTCACATCTTTCTTTGCAACACCATTCAACATATTATTTGTAGTAATTTAATAACGATCAATCGAACTCATTCAATGAAAATTTAATTCAGCGTAAAAGTCAAATCGTATTTGGAACGGAGAAAAGAGAAATGTTGGATTGCAGTCCACGCGACTCAGTAGTGTTCGCTCTATAAATACGAGACGGCTAGACGGAGTGCACAAGTTTCGTCGGCGACGCATACAGAAACGCATAAGAGACGACGAATCACTTTTGTATTTTCGTCCCGTTGGTTCGCATGTGTGCACCCCGTGATGGTGGCTTTTTTTTTTTTGCCGACAGTCGCGCGGCGCGTTGAGGAATGGCATGGGACGCCTCTTCTTCCGCTCATTAAAAATGAGTACGTGTACGCGGGCTATACCCTGAGGATTTATAATTAGAATGTTCATGTACATATTGCAGATTTTTAGTTCATTAAAGATGATGCGCTCATTTCAAGATTTAAACGCCTTAATAGTTCACAAATCGTGGTTTTTACTACTGTTTAGCTGTATTTTTCTGGTTCAATTATCATTGAATTTATTAGAAACTTATTGTCATAAATAAGTTTTCAATACATAACATGCTGATTCAAATTTGTCGAATAGAATGTTTCATTTATATTCGAAATTATCTAGACCGTATTACGAATGTATATGTGCTTCAACGCATATCGTAGCTCTTTTTACAAAAGCCAAAAAATCTTTCAAAATATTACTTTTGTATTCAATTTGGAATTCAAACAATTACACAAATACATTTAAAATTTTCCAATATTGTAAAAAATATTCAAATTCGAATTTTTATAAAATGACTATTTTAATAGCAAATAATTACATCTTTAAAAATTGTTATAGATATTATCTAATAAACCTAGTACAAATCAAAATTTACTACTTTTTACGGGAGAATAATTATATTGACTTATCTAGCGTTGAACCAATAATTGTACAGACAATTACGCACTGGAAGTTTTATTCATAAAACGTTATCCTGAATAATCGATTTAAAAAATAAACCGTATTTTGATAGGATAAAGTTTTAAGTATTATTATACAGTTATACAACAGAAAACTGAAGTAACAGTGCCACCACCGGTACAACAGCTCTCTCGCTAGCAATGCTCCAATCGATAGGCAGCAAGTACAACTTTCGTCGTACTCTGCAAGATAGCAGCACCATGAGCAGCTACGTTGTACTCTCTCATCTCTCTCCCAATCTTTCATCCTAGAGCGCCCTATACGGCATTCAATTCGGGGTAGAATGTAGGTCTTCATTTTACTTTTTTAAGATTATCGATAATCTAATTATGCCATTAGATAGTTCAGCAAACAAGTAATGATGTTTTTTGCTATCATTTGTTCGTCCTTGGATGCTGGGCTCCAACACTCGGATACGATGTGCGGTAAAATCTAGAAAAGCTCATTAAAATAAAATAATTTACACACTAATTGTTAGTTCATGAGACGAACTAACGGCATCCATATTAAAGATTGTTAATAAAGTAATTATTTCAAAAAATGATAAAAAAAAAATTGTTTCGGCTTATGATTGCTGGGCGCCTGGTGCTGGCTCAAGAACAACCGTCAAAGAGATTACCCCCAGTGGCTTTCATTATTTACTCCAGATAGTCCAGATGACTGCATCATTCTTGTAGATAATCGGAACAATAATATATTAATTAGACCCTTAGACTAGCAGATTGAATTTAAACAGAATTGGAATGCTGCGTTATTCTTAGTTTTCAATGTTTTTAATTCCATCTGAATTATCTGTAGCAAATAATGAAATTCACTGAGGGTACCTGGGATATTGCAGAGAACATGCGTGCCGCTTTGGTAGGTGTTCGTGAGCCAGCGCCCAGCAGTCAAAGGACGAAACAATATTTTATTTTTATTTACTTCAATAAAATTGTATAACATTCAATAAAGTTATTATTTATTTATTTACAGCACTTAATAGTAATATTACAATAAATGGAACTCGAGTATACCGTTATTGCACGGCGTGATATTACTAAGCGCAAATTGAAAATAAGTTGGCAGTTCATGACAGAAAATGTATGTCAGTCAAATGAAACACAAAAATGAAACAAAAAAAAAAAAAACAAAACATAAATTCGCGAACAATCAATTTTACTATGTTAAATTGATTGTATTTTGCGAAAAGAGTTATTTTATTAATTTATATCCAAACAATAGTTATTTAAGACACTTTGAAGAAGAAGGGGTTATGCTCTGCCCCCTTCTCCTTCAAAACCGCCCGAGACGTAAAAATGTGGTTAGCCCAAACTACCTTCACCCATTAACGCTTAAATCGGGAAAAATTTGAGTTTTATTTGTCGAGCACTTTTCAAGTGTTAAAACGTACATAACATGTCTCAAAATGTCAATGCTCATATCTTTTCGGCCGTTCTACAAAAGTGAAGTCAAAATTATGATTGAATATAAAGAAAATAAAATATGTACAAACCGTTAATTTTATAACCATCTGTGATACTGAAATCAATATTATCGTGTTAAAATTTGGTAGAAAGTGAAAGTAAATGAATATAATAAAATAGAGAATACATATTTATCTTTTGTACATTGTAAGTTAAGACATATGCGAATAACGGAAACTAATTATCAGAGCGTTAAGCCCGGAAGAATATTCACGTATTTTATTAAACAGCGGGACTTATTCGTGCTCATTACAATCTCCAAATTGGTATGTAAAAGTTTCAAATAATGTAATAAATAACAGAAAAACATAAACAAAAGAAAGAAAGTGCGAAGTGCGCTAAATAACACTAGTATAGATAAAAAAACCAAGAAGTAAACAATATCACGTATGTACAAAGTCAATCCACGTAGCTCGAGGGGTAGCGCGTCACGTAGATATTACTCATGAAAACGTCAGAAAACGATCAAGGAGCAACTGAATAAGCATGCTGCTGACGTTTAATAGTCTATTCATATATTACAATAGCTAATGCGATTTTGGTGGGACGCGGGGAAGAAAGAACGATCGGTAAAAATGTAATGTACTCAGCTACGAGTATCCAAATATATAAATTTAAGCGATTATCATGTACTGCTAATAATCCGCTAATAACCTCATCAGTGCCGTGATTGTAATTCCTAACATTTAATTGGTACATTATTACACGCCCTCGGTTTATGTATGATGTTGACTGTTTTTTCATACATACAAGAGTCGTTCAATAAGTCCGTGACTTCTCAGAAGATGATGGTATATTTTACACTGTAAGAGACTCCCATCTAGTATAAAGTGAGTATATATACAAAGTTTTAACTTAGTACTTTGATTTGGACATTTTTTATAGTCATTTGAATTTAGTTTTTCATTGTGTAAACAAAATCATGGAAAAAAATGAGTTTCGTGTGCTTATTAGACATTATTTCCTACGGAAAAAATCAATCAAAGAATGCGAAGAAAAGTTCAAAAAATATTATGGAGACTCTGCTCCATTGCATGGCATGGTTCAAAAGTGGTTTACTGAATTACATTGTGGCCGTAAAAACATAAGTGATGCTGAGCTCCTGGCTGTCCAAAAGAGTTGACTACTCAACGTAATCGATAAAGCTCATGATATTGTACTTTTCTATTATTATATACTATTTCAGTAGGATGTACACGGAATATTTTACCTGAATGTTTGGGCATGAGAGTCTGCAAGATGAGTGTCTGCAAGATGAATGCCGCGCTTGCTTACAGCTGATAACAAGCGAGCTCGTGTGGTTGCGTTTGAGCAATGTTTGAACATGTTTCAAAGTAATTCAGAAAATTTTTACGACGCTACGTTACTGTTGTAAAACATGGATTTATTATCATACATCTGGCGAAAAAAAAGTTCTTTTTCACCACGATAATGCACCAATTCACACGAGCAGTGATGAGAATCCGATGACGCTACAAAAAATTTTATTTTCATGAAGTTGTATCATATCTATATTGTTTATATAACTATGATCAAGATTCACAGCCGGTATTCCCATAGCATCTCGGTCATAGCTGTATAAACGACATAGATATGATACGATTTCGTGAAAATGAAATTTTTCGTAGTGTCATCGGATTCTCATCACCTCATCACTGCACACGAGTTCCATTGTAACGACCAAATTATTTAATTTACGCTATGAAATACTTCCTTATCTACCTTCATCTACCTCCAGATTTAACCCCTTCCGATTATTTTTTGTTTCCTGACATGAAAATTTGACTTGCGGATAAAAGATTTTCATCCAACGAAGAGATAATTTCTACGACATATAAGCATTTTGAGGAGTTTGATAAAAATTATTTTTCAAAGGGCATAAAAAAGCTTGAGTACCGCTATAATAAATGTATAGAGTTAAAAGGGGACTATGTTGAAAAATAAATTAGAATTATTTAAATAAATAGTGTTTTTTTTATTTAAAGTCACGGACTTATTGAACGACCCTCGTATGTTTCAGCTTGCCTATTCATATTATTTTTATTCTTATAAATGTGTAGCATTTTAGAAAAAAGTCGTCTGTTTAGATCATTATTCTAACATTATCAAACTGGATACTATGTTTACAATTGTTAGCATGCTCTACCAGAGCAAATGTGTCATCATTTTAGCAACATTACGCTTATATTCATTAATACGTAAGCACTTATGTCGACACGTTTGGCCTATGTACACCATATTAACACATTAAACAATATTATCAGACTCGGTAAAGATATCATAAATAACATAGAAAAAAAGTGGCGCTGTTACATGGGCAGACTCTGATATACATCTAACTTTATTTTTCGAAACGACGTGTGTGGGATGAGATTTTAAGCACGCTCGATTCCTCGAGCGTACGCATAAAGTTGAATTATAATATATGCACGCAGTGTCGAAATATAATAGAGCCATTTGTCTAAAAAATAAATAATTAAATAAATAAAGAAATACATCAAGGTTATAACGAATGGCTTGTAATTCGTTATGTCTCTCTCCCTCCACGAAGCCAGTAATATATATATTTGTAATATTGCTATGTATTTATTTATATGAGCTGTTTGCAGCGCAGATGTCAGCGAACCGATGAGTGACGCGTCAACCCTTCGATAGTCGATAGTAATCGCGTGACGCGGACCTCGCGGAGATACGATTATTATCGAAAGGAATAAGAAAAAATAGGCGCGATCATAACAATTGGCTTCGAATCGGCAGCAAATGCACACCCCATGAGAAGGACGAACGATAGGAGTGCGATGCGGAGAATTGTAGCGAGGAGAGAAGTAAGGTAGCCACGCGCACGACTAACAGTATCAGCAGCAATAACTTAAGACCCGAGCGAGAACATCAAGACGATCACCTACTATACTAGTGGAGAAGTGGATACGCTAGCTAGGTCCGCGAAGCGAGTGTGCACCCGAATCTTGTCGGATTCTGCGAGCGATCAGCACTGTAAGTACCGGCCCGTCATTTGGCTTTCTCTCTTTTTTACGCTCTCTATCCTCACGCTCGCTTTGTATAACTTTTGGTTTGATCCGCTTGCTACTGCGTCTAGTGCGTCGGGCGCATGTTACAATTTCTTTGTGCCGCATATTGACGCGTTATCGCGCCGACTATCGTTCGCCTGCGGATACGACTGTGTCAGCGTGTCATCTTACACTTTTGTATAAGGCGCGCCGGTTTGCTTTCTTATCGGCGGCAGCTCATAACATGGCGTGAGCCCGCGTTTGGTTCACTCGCGTAGCGCGCGCGCTATACTCATTTCTTTTATGTTGCAGCGGTCTACGTGACACAGGCGCGTCGTCCGATTAGTGCCGAGTTTGCTTTCTACAATTCTGAAATTTGTAATAACTTCCCTCTTGTTGATATAAACTACTGTTTACCTGTAATTCGTGCCGAGTACCTAAATACTCCCGCTCTTCTTATAAGTCAGTCGCTTTATTGATTTGCGCTCCGTTCCCTCTTGCTTATTCACTGGTTGATTTTAGCGGAGCTCACGATACTTTCTACGAGCCGATTTTTCTCTTTTGATGAAGAAGGTAACCTGAAGCAGCTGGACCCTGGACGCGCCTATGCAGGAGGTTGTACAGGATAGCGACAACGTCAGTTACATATAATTTTCATCCATGAACAATAATCAATTTTTTATTTCGGCTTTTGTTCGAAATACCTCGAGCAAAAGTCCCGTTACAAGGTTATCACCAATGAAATGAACTTATCCAACCAACGCTTATCCTTCGAAATCGCTCTGTTACTACTATGAAAATACCGATACTAAGTTTTCGTTCCACTCAATCGATACTTAGCAAATAACTTCTCCCTTATTCATTAGGATAGCAGTACCGTGTCCTCCAGATATTATTTGCACGATAATGCTTGAATAGCGCTAACAGTGATGAAATAAAAAAAAATGAAATACTCAAGACGATACGTCAGTTCTAACAAGCAGTTGTTCGATTAGCATCGTTTTAATCACACAATCACGTAGATAAAGGCTGACAGCAGACGATGCTAGTATACAAAACTGCATCACCTTACGGAAAAGTAGCCTTTTCTTATTAGTTGTTGATGATATTGTTTCGAAGTTGGCGGTTGCCCTCAGCTTAATAAAAAAGTACGCAAATGGTACTCTAACTTTGGTGGGAGCTAGTAAGAAATTCAATGCTGCTGTGACTAGTTTACTACTCATATTCGTTTAAGAAATTAATTTTCTACGCTTACTACATATCTTTTCGTAAGTAAAACATTTTTTATGGTTACGTGTTTTAGTTATTTTCAAAAGTTCAAAAGATGCAACTTACTTCGTTTTTATAAATAAACTAATAACAATATTTGTCCGTTTTTATCCTTCCCATTATTGGATTATTTAATTATTGTTTATTGTAAAAATTGATTACAATCATTATTCTCATGAATCATCGATTATTTTTATATTAAAACAATTGAGAAGGTTTTTATATAATCTACTTTAATCACTAAAATATAAATTAGAGCCCGCAAATCAAAATATTGCAATAAATTTTACAATTCGTTTCATAATTTGTTTTTGATATATTGTACTGCTTTGTTATAAACGGTAATTTTTTATGAAAACGTTTTATGAACATCGCCTGGAAAATTGCAATCATCATTAGAATCAATATTTTCATAAAATACAAAATCTTAACTGATTAAATATCCAGTTTTGTTTGTAAAGTGTCTTGATTACAGTATCTTTTTAAGTCATGTAGATTTCTGATAAGCCTTCAAGTCCTTGTACTATTTGTTTTTTAATAAAATATACTCTAAATAGTAAATATACCATTTCTCAAATAAAAATATTTATAAAATATGATGCTATCATAAATAGGCATTGGATACTAAATTATTTTTGGATTATGGGATAAATATTAAATAAATAAAGATGGAGTTCTATTTTGAATGTAAGTTCTTTATTCAAAGTGCACTAGGAAAGGCATGTCTATATCGGAGAACTGCCTGTTCTTGACTAAAAAGGCAAAACAAGTGTTTTCATGATTTGGAGATTTTATCATCCGCTCTCAATATTAGCGCTGTGAGAACGGCAATACTATGCACACTAGACTGCTCTTGTTCATTTTTATAGTTTTCTCGAAATTTCGTTAAGACTTAATATAGATTGATTTTTGTTCTCATGTCTGACTCATACACATACATTCCAACAATTATTTATTAAGAAAGGATATAGTTAATCGGAAAAAATGCTTGGATTGTCAATCGAAATGACATGTTTATAATGTGTGAATGAATATAAAATCGAAGAATAACGCATGATTTAGCAAATTTTGCCATAATAATTTTTCTAATCAAAATTATTTATCATTATAAAAAGAAAGTAATCCTAAGAATGGAAAAGGACTTAAAGTGCGGCTTTTGTGGTCTCAGTCCAACATGGCTACAACGATTTGCAACAACGCGCGCCTTCGTTGTTATCTACGGACTTCTTGGTACTGTGCAGGCAATGTCATTCATTTACATTGGCGTTAGCCTGACAACCCTTGAAAAAAGATTTAAAATTCCAAGTCGAACTACTGGTTAGTTCTGAGTTATCGATAATTAACAAAGAAAATGCGGATTAACGTTTATTTTTTCAGGTGTTTTACTGTCAGGCAATGAAATATCGCAAATACTGTCGGTCATTTTGATGTACTATGGTGGTTCAGGTCACAGGCCACGATGGATAGCAATTGGTGTAGCTATTAGTGCTCTATCTTGTCTAGTCCTTGCTTTACCTCATTTCATTTATGGTCCAGGTCAAGAAGCTATGGCCTTGACTCATGAATACCTTAATACAACTATTTTGTCGACTGGAGTCTTCAAAAGAAACGAAATATTAATGTGCTCCACGCTTGATCATATCGAAAACTGTGATGATAATATATCATCATACACAAGTATTATTCCCAGGCTATTAATATTTTTATCACAGTTTATACTAGGTATTGGTACCACATTGTACTATGGATTAGGTCAGATTTACATGGATGACAACACAAAGAAAAAGAACACGCCGCTGCTATTAGGTATGCCATGATAAATGTTTCATAAAGAGCTTATTTGTTTTTTATAATAATTTTTCTTTGTTGCTTTATCTTAACATTAATTTAATAATATCTATAATTTTAAAACAGTTGTCACAGTGATTAGTCGATTGATCATATCGATAAATAAAAAGCCCTTATCATCGATACCACTTAATAAGCATACAAAGATCTATTTTTACAATAAATCATATATTTTGAATATTGCTCATTCTTTGAAAATCTAGTTTAATTTAATGTCACAGGTATAACTTTCAGTCTTCGTATGGTCGGTCCACTGTTAGGATTCATTCTGAGTTATTACTGCCTAAGAGTTTATATCGACCCGAAGCTACATCCCATCATAGATGACAAGGATCCACGGTGGTTAGGGGCATGGTGGCTAGGTTGGATCATACTTGGAATAATGATGGGAATTTCAGCAATATTCCTTGCCATGTTTCCTAGGAAACTGAGAAAATCAAAATCAAATAAAAAGAAAGTATCCACAAGTGTAAGTTTGAGGTTTTTATAGTATAAGCATAACAATTTTACACAATATTCAACATTAAATTCTAAAATATTGTATTATCATTTTTTTTATTTTTCTCCTCAGGAAATTGAAATACCGTTGAAATGTGAGCAATTGGATAAAAAACCACAAATTTCACATATGGAAAAACCATCTCTGAAGGATTTTGCAGTATCGCTTAAACGGATATGTAAAAATAAGTTATTTATGTACAACACCTTTAGTGCTGTTTTTTATATACTTGGTTCCGCTCCGTTCATTTATTTTATTGGTAAATACATGGAGGTACAATATGGCACTTCTTCAGGTGGCGGCACAATAATAGCTGGTAAAAACATGTGAATACGTGAAAAACTTTTTCGATTAAATCTTTGAGGCGTAACATTTGCAATGGCTCATATATTTTTAAGGTCCACTTAAGATTTTGGGAGTAGTTTTTGGTTTCTTATTTTCTGGAATTGTGATCGGAAGATACAAACCGTCACCTAGACTTCTGATGGCCTGGAATGTATTTAATGGAATACTTTACGTTTTAGTAAAAATTGTGTTTTTATACGTAACATGTGACACCGATAACATACAAGGAGTGAATCTAGAAACTATGACGTAAGTTTCGATTAAAGTTTTTAACGCATAAAATTATTATTAGCACATTATTAATCTACGTAATTAAAGTAAACGATATATGCATAATATATCTCTTTTCATTAAAGAGTAAATTTAACAACCTCGTGCAATGCAGTCTGTCACTGTGAACAAGTGAAATTCTCACCAGTTTGTCATGATCCTACGGGAATGACATACTTCTCAGCCTGTCATGCTGGTTGTCAAAAGATTATCAACGACACGGCATTCGGTGATTGTAACTGCGTGATTAATTTAGACTATCTTATCAAAGACGCGTTTCTCGAAAATACATCACTGCAAATAGAAGATCAATTTTCCAAAATACTTCAAACTGAAAAAAACGTTGTAACTGTGGGACCCTGTAAAAAAAATTGTTTCAAGTCTTATATCACATTTTCCCTTTTATCAGCCTTTACTTTTATTCTCGGATGTTCTGGGAGAATAGGAAATGTACTAGTCAGTTATAGATGTGTGGACACCAAAGATAAGAGTTTAGCCCAAGGTGTTTCAATGATGATACTGTCATTAGTAGCTATGATACCGGCACCTATAGTTGCAGGAGCTTTAATGGATTCCACGTGTTTAATATGGGATGTTTCGTGTAAAAGTAAAGGAAATTGCTGGGTCTACCATAAAAACAAATTCAATTATGTTGTCAATATAAGTGGAGCAGGTAAAATTCCGAATTACTATTGTAGTTATCGATAGAAATCTAAAAATTAAGATTCATAATTTTATTCTTTTTTTATAGCCTTTATTTTTGTGGGAGTAATCGTTGACGCATTATTGTGCTATTACTCCAAAGGTTTAGACCTATATGGAGAAGCAGAAGAGGCCGAGAAAAGAAGAATTTCTCAATTGAAAAATAATGATATAATAGACAATGAAGTTTCAAGTCTGAAATCATAGCTCGTTGAAAATTGCTGATGTACTTTATTTCAATCAAGTATTCGAAGTGAATATTAAATTATCATCGACAAAGTATTGTTACTCAGAAAGCTGCCGTGATATTGAAAAGTACCGGTGTAAATGTGTGTGTTGCGAAAGTGTTATGCTTTTAATCACGAATCAATCGAAAGGACATTGATTGTCTTCTTAATTTTCTGGAAGTTATAGAACGTTTAAGTAAACTAATAATAATCAAAATTTTGGTACCCACGTACACATTACGTTACTTACCATCTTCATGTTCTTTTTATTGATTACAGATTAATTTTGAAAAAAATGTATTACGAATGTTTGTAATCTTGAGCGACTGATATATCGACTTCTAGAACAACTTCATCTTCTTACCACGAGATAGCAGCAATGTGAGTTGCATACGTCAGGTTTGCGCGGCAACGCTTCAAACAGAACAACCGAGGCAGGCGCGCTTAATTCATTTGAGCGAACGAGATAGAAAGAGAGAGCGAGCGAGAGCGAGAGAGAGAGAGAGAGATCGAGAGAGAGAGATGACGACGACACACCGGCCGTCGCCAGCGATTTCGTGTGATTATTCATCTAAACGGTCGTGCCACCGCGCAGATAGAGTTGAGCGCGCGACGGTGTAACTGCGTCTGCTCCTCTCTTCTCCATCTCACTTATCATTCTTTATTTTTCATCGAACATTTGTGATTCCTTGTTTGATAAAAAAAATTACCTGTCATTGTTGAAAATTTCTTGTCGAGGTGGACGTACGTCCTTGACCATTACGATCGGGTGACTTCTTTAACTGACTTTAATGGCACCGCGATTGTAAAGGGGAGTCACCGGTGTGTGGACAAGTTATTTGCTGCTGTAATCGTTTTGTGTGGTATACTGATGCCTCGCTGAGAGGAACTATTTCACCGCGTGAACTTTACATTCTTGTGTAAGTAAATCTTTCTTCTTATTCGTATGCGAATTGCAATTCGTTTTTTGTGCATCTTGGAAAAACATAAACTTGTTTAGAGTTGGACAAAGGAATAACGTTAAAGACGAGAAAAAATTCATTTGTATTCTCTGTTAGATTCAGCGTTGTTTGTGCACGCATCGATTATTATTATGATGACAGTAGAAACTGTTGATTGAAAACGTTTATGTAATTTTTTAACGATCTCTTTATTTGATTTATGATATAAACTCCGATATTTATCCAAAGAAATAAATACATTTTAAGTGTATCAACCTCGTATTTAGCAATTCCACATTTTCCAAAACCATAAATTTGAAAAATTTGATTGGAATTCATGATTTCGTTCATATTTCCATCATTGCAATCAACAGCTGACATACTATTTGTATCAATAGTAAGATCTCTGATAATAATAATAATAAAGAAACATTCGAGATTTCTGATCTTTTTGTGTTTTTTACTAACATTCACACCAGCGGATTCGTAATAAAAAACTACCAAATCGAATTTAGCTGAAAATGAAAAATTGTAGTTTGATAAACGACGATAATCAGCATTCGCTATTAATGATTCACGACGCTTCAACATTTATAGTTTTAAACAAAGCTTCAAAGTTTACACTGTTACATAACGCACTGGTATCAAATTGATCACTATATATCGTGAAATACGAAAGATCAAATACATGTACATGTACATGCTTCACTAACAATTGATGCATTAGGACGAATGATAAAAAATTGTATTTCACAATACATTTTTTTTGTGCGTCAACGTCAAAGCATTGTACACGGTAATAATCCTGATCACGCGAGTTATTTACGATAAATAATTAATCGCACGCAATCATCATTCGGTAGAGTCTCTTTGATGTATAGGATGTACACTGCGAAAAGTTAGTGCGTACCTGAACCGTTTCACGGGAGATCCCAATGATGTCAGGATAAATTTGGCACACATGCGATGCTAATAGATTATACGCAGAGAAAGTTTCTGCAATTGTTTCGAGATCTTAATTATGCTTAGCAAGTTACAGTGACGAAATTTTCATTATCAAATGACGAGTACTTATTATAGAAAAATATGAGCCAAAGAATTTGTTATACAAGATTTTTGATCGCATATTAAGTATTGATCATTAAAGGAAAAGAACAAATCATAAATATAAATCAATAATGGTAAGTATTTAAACTATATAACTGGTGTTGACGAGTAAATGTATATATGACAAAGTATAAGAGGGAAAAATTGCAAATGGAAAGTTTTTATTACAGATACGTTGCAATTCGCACGTGTAAATGTATCTAACTTAAATGAATTGTACGTGGTGTTATTGCGATTAAACGGATATATTATTTAGATTTCATGTAAATTAAGCTAACGACTTTAAATTGCTTAAGTGTTCTTTATGATATATGTCTATCTTCTATGAAATGAAAGTTAGTCATCGTTATTTTGTAATGATTCAAGCACGTGTACATTACCAAAACATAAGCGTTAAGTTTTGATAGAGAGATAAAAGAAATCGACAGATCTATAAAAAATCTGATGAATCCAAGTGCATCGCAAAACGCCCACGCGTCTGAAGTATAGTGTTACGCGGCACGACTAAACATACTCGTACGTTTGTAGTTTGTACAAGTGGAGTAGTCTCATTGCCGACAGTCATTGACATCATCGAGCGAACTGTGTCTCGGTGATAAACATTTGCGATATTTTATTTCCCTTTGAAAGTTTTTGACATTCGCGATTTGTTCAAATTACCGATGCGCAAATGTATACTCGATAAGATTCATCCGATTATAATCCATGATATAAATATCATTTCGATCGTACGAACGTCAAAGATTTATCTTATTGATACGAACAAATGACTGTGTTGAGCATTCATTATAATGACAAGCTAGCAGTTAAATTTTTGTTTATTTGGAACGTTATGATTAGCAAGAACTGAAATAAAAGACACGTTTATGAAATGTAAGTTAATAATTAAATATTTTCTTTGTCAATTGGCATTTTTGTGAATACGTTAAACTAGTTTTGCCGAATATGTTGAAAAAATTTAAACTTTTGTAAAAAATATTTTACTAGATAATTGTTTGTTACAATTCTATGTTTCTAAATAATTTTATTTAATTTTAATTTTGTATATGCGTATAAAGTGCAGTAGCAGTCTAGAATCAAAAAGCTTATTACTATACAATGTTACTGGAATCATTAAAAGTTAATATAGTATAGCTCACCTATACGCTCGAAAGAGATCAACCTTAATTCGTGAATATACTACATTTACGACTACCTGATATCATCAGAACAAATACCTACAGCTTTGTAAAACAAGCGAATTTCTGTCTATATGTATACTGCTATTATCTTCATTAAGTCATACTCTTTTTCGTTGCCCTTTAAGGAGGAAGAAATTGTAAGGATGAGTCAATACTCAAAGTGCGGCTTCTGTGGTATCTACCCCAAATGGCTGCAAAATTTCGCGACTTCGCGCAGTTTCATCGCGGTGTACGGACTTCTCGGTACCGTACAGTCGATGGCCTTCATTTACATTATCGTTAGTCTAACGACCCTCGAGAAGAGATTCAAGATTCCAAGTCGAACTACTGGTAAGCTTACCCTGCGATTTCATCGCTTTCTTTCCGTAAAGTGAGATATTTGACGCAGATGTGACCTTTGCCATATCCAAAGCGTGATTTCTGGAAATGATAAAAAAATATTTGATTATTCACATAACATTGAAATTTTCACAGTAACAGAATTACTTAAATTAGTTTTTTATATTGATATTCTTAGTAGATTCCATTACATAAAAAATTAGCATGAAAAATCATTTGTTTTTGAAGTGATCCACAGTCATTTTAATCCTACCGCTGCCTCTGCTAAAACATGTTTTATCGCATAATTATACGTTGTGTAGGTACATATCATTTTAACCTTATGCAACAGAGTGAGTTATTGCAAGTAAAATTTATTCAATGCAATTTGTTATAATTGATCAGAAAAATTTTTGTCTTCATAACTAAATAATAACGCGTTCATCATTCTTCATAATAAAACATTTCAAGTAGGTAAGTGGTCGGAAGCAATAGAAGAAGTGGTAAAAAAATCTGGTCTGATCAGTTTTGATCATATTAATTTACCTTATAAGTATCACAATTTTATCAAGGATAAAACTCTTATTTCTGGATAATTGTCATAATGAAAGAGTAGTGACATTCCTTACTTAGGCATCAGATCATGCATACTTTTTTCTATCAGAGCCCTGGATTTTTATAGATGATTTATTTCGCAATATTGTTTGCTTTGTTGAATTATAAATAATGTTGATAACATAAGTAAATTTACGTTTCCCTTAGCACTATATCTTACAAGAAATTATTTACCATCTTCCACAAATGGAAAAAGGTGAAATGCAAAACTCCATGAATGCAATGTTGACCAGTCAATTTTTCAATACTTTTAATTAGACATTAGCAATTCCAAAAAAAAATAACAATATTTTGACAATAATTATGTTTTCTAGGTATCATACTATCAGGCAATGAAATATCACAAATCCTTTCAATCCTCCTCATCTACTACGGCGGTTCAGGTCACAGGCCACGATGGATAGCGATTGGTGTTGCGTGTAGTGCTTTATCGTGTCTAATTCTCGCTTTACCTCATTTCATTTATGGCCCCGGCCAAGACGCGTTGGCATTGACTCGAGAATATCTTAACTCTACGATATTATCAACCGGAATTTTAAAAAAGAACGAGCTACCTATATGTTCAAAATTTAGTCGTCCCGAACGTTGTGACGAAGATAGTTTAACAGATACGAGTATCATTCCAAGACTGTTGGTATTTTTCTCACAGTTTATATTGGGTATTGGCACGACGTTGTATTATGGACTTGGGCAAACGTACATGGATGATAACACAAAGAAGAAGAATACTCCAATGCTACTAGGTATGAAATGCTTATGACATAATTTTTTCCCGCTGTTGATCTAATAATTACTGCTTTACAAAGGATTTTCATGCTGATTGTCATCCAATCGATTGAATAATTTCATCGATAGATGAAGAATTTTAATTTTAATGTGTTGTAGAGACCAAACTCATGAAAACTTTAACTTCATAGGTAAATAATTTGAGGTATCAGAATGAGTCTGTCAATTTTTCAGATAAAAATATGAACATAATGAGACAGTGTTTTCATTATGTATTCAATGAAAACACTTTTGCCGACAATATTATCATGAATTTTTACAGGTTTTACATTTGCACTACGTACAGTTGGTCCAGCTATAGGATTCGTCCTCAGCTTTTTCTGTTTGAACTTCTATATTGATCCAACATTGCACCCCATTATTGATAAAAAAGATCCAAGATGGTTAGGTGCTTGGTGGCTCGGTTGGATCATACTTGGACTGATAATGACCATCTTTGCCGTACTTTTGGCTTTATTTCCTCACGAATTACGGAAGTCAAGGTCGATCAAGAAGGAAGATGCTTTCAGCGTAAGTTTATGAAACTTATATAACAATCAACCCAATTCAATTGAATATTTTAACAGAATGATTGCACAATGTTTAACAGGAAAGTGAACCTTTGAAAGTTGAACCACCGGAAGAATGCTCACAAAAGATGATATTACATAAGCCAACCTTGAAAGACTTTCCATCAGCACTCAAACGAATATTGACAAATAAACTACTAATGCTTAATATCTTCAGTGGTGTTTTCTATGTTCTTAGTGCTACTCCATTTATGAGTTTTGTTGCCAAATATTTAGAGGTTCAATTCAGTACTTCGCCAGGTGGTGGCACGCTCATAACAGGTAAAGAACGTAACAACTCTATAACTGACTGTTCTATTTTTCAGATTCAATTTGTAACGTCTGATATTTTCTAGGTCCACTTACGTTAATGGGAATGGTACTTGGTTTTATAATCTCCGGATGTGTGATAGGTAAATTTAAACCATCACCTCGACCACTTTTGTTTTGGAATATTGTAGTAGGATTAAGCTACATCGCAGGACAGATTGCATTTACTTTTATAAGTTGTAAAAATAGCAATATAGCAGAAGTTAATTTAGACACAATGAAGTAAGTTTTATAAAATTTCTAAAAAACAAACAAATTTTTATGTAGTACATAGTATAACATGGACTTTCATTGCAGATTGAACTTGATATCACCCTGTAATACAGCCTGTAACTGCGAATTAATAAAGTATTCACCAGTATGTCATGAAGCTACTGGGACGACATTCTTCTCAGCTTGTCATGCTGGTTGTCAATCGATCATCAATGACACAAATTTTGGCGATTGCAGATGCGTATCCAATCTTCATTCGATGGTTAAAAACACATTACTTCAGGGTGCATCTTTGCGACTAGAAGATCAACCTTTAAATACATTCCAAACAGTGATCGATAGGGTAACAGCTGGACCCTGTAAACAAAATTGTTTTCCACCTTATATCATGTTTACCATCGTGTCTACTATAATTAATATACTTGGTTGCTCCGGAAGAATAGGAAATGTGTTATTGAACTATAGATGTGTGGAGACTAGGGATAAAAGCTTAGCCCAAGGCGTTGCCCTAATGGTTGTGTCACTATTTGCGTTGATACCTGGACCTATAATATTCGGTGCTATTATGGACTCGACATGTTTAGTATGGGATATATCGTGTAAAAAGAAAGGAAACTGTTGGTTTTATCATAAAGACCAATTCAGATATTATGTTAACATCACTGCAGCATGTAAGATTTGTTTGCAATGATTTTTTTTGAACAATAAGCATTTTCATTATAAAATGAATTATATTTATTATTTAAGGTTTTTGTCTGATTGGAGTAATTTTCGATGCGTTCGTATGTTATTACTCTAAAGGTATAGATTTATATGGAGAACAAGAAGAAACCGAGAAAAAGCGAATACATCAATCAAAAAACAATGAAAAAATGAATAACATCGAGATTTCCAACCTCAAGCCATTATAGATATTTTCATCGACTACATATTTTTATATACTTACGTTGTTTAAAACAAAAACTAGATTTTATTTTTATAAGCACGTTGCGATTTGTAAATATTCATTTATATAACAGATTTTTAACTTTTATTGTCTGCAAATAGAATATACAATATAATAGAAGTTAAATCTACTTGAAATTTTTCTTTGTCCTTAATACCTGTGTCGATTGGAGATGATTTGTTCGCGAGCGGACAAGATAAGGTGGGAGCTTAAGCAAGCGGAAAAAAAGAGAAAGAGGGCAGGCATAAAAGTTTCTCTTTGAAATAGCCTTTTAATTCTTAAGCCTTCTTGGATTGTACAACCTAACGAATTTGCCTGTACGGAAGAAGTCGTCTTTATCGATCGGCGGTGACTGTTTTTCACCTTTATTAAGACAACTGCATGTGGTATCATTTCTATAGTATTAATTTAATTTTCGAAAAATTAATTTAAGCAAACTAATAAAATTGCAACGTTTCTAAAATTAATGATCGGGGTATATGTTTTCAACATTTGAAAATTATTGTCATTGACGTACAATTGTTTCATTTGTTTTATCAAATTACCTCAATAAACGTTTTTTAGATTTGAAGTGTTTCATCTGTTAAAATGTTTAGTGATTACAATATTACTTAGCAAACTAGCATTTGTTCTTAGAATTAGCATGTTTGATATATGTAATTTCTTTTATTATGAACAAAAAAAAAATCAACGAATATTCATTATTAAAAAAGAAATTTCTAGAGCAGACAATTTTTTTAACGTGATCACGACAAAGTGGTATTATAATTTTCATAACTTATCAGCGTTGACGTCATGCTGTACGTACGGTGTATAGCATACACGATGTAATTTGCAGTAACTAAAGTATAAGTAAGAAGTTATGCATTTAAACGAACGTTCTTCTACAAAATTATCAGTATTCGATTCTATTTTTTGTTTACGATTATAGTCGAACAATTGACCATCACTTAAATAATAAATATATTTTTTTCCATCCCTTTACCGTAATATTGCTGCCGATATCTTCAAAGTTAAATTATTTTTGTATCTACATTAAAAGTTAACAATTGATAAATGAGCCGGAATAAGGAATATGTATATAAGAGTATGTATCCACACGTTATGCAGAATTTTACCACTTTATCATAGTTTAGCACTTTTATCATAGTTTATGAATTCCTCGGAACGATACAGTCAATGGTTTATAGATACGTGAATCTCATGACTCTTGAGGAAATATTCAAGGTTTCCAGTCAAACTACTGATTAGCAATTATTTGTGTTATCTTTTGGTTGAATTGACTGACATTTGAAGCTATTCGCCCAGCAATAAGATTTATTTTCAGTTTCGTTTTTATGTATCTCTATATTGACTCTACTCTACATTCCACCATCGACAAAAATGATTGGAGATGGTTAGGTGCATGGTGGTTAAGTTGGATTGTACTCATATTTCTGCAAGAATCATTTGACTTTCGAATTTCTGATGGAAATAAAGTGACAAAGTATTGCAAAGTCAAAAAATTAAAAAGCTAATTTAATTGTAAAGTAACGTTTATAAAAATACAAGTCAACGAAAAATACTTTTAGAATTTCGCCAGGCAAGTTAGTGAAATGTCGATAAAAAATAAAGTATGAAATCAGAACAATCGGGAAAATAAACTAAGTTTGAAAGAATTTTCAGCAACGATTAAACGAATAGTAATGAATAAGCAGTCAATGATAAATACTTTTCATTGCATTTTTTACGTTCTAAGTACCATTCCATTCATGAGTTTTCTTACAAAATATTAAGAAGTTTACTTCAAGATTTCTTGAATCAGTGGCACCATCATTATATTTCAATTTATATCAGTTTTTTCATATGATCATAATAACTAACAATTTTTAATTCTGTCAAGAACCACTTGCTTTGATGCGTATGGTACTGGGCTTTTTCATAGCAGGATTTGTGATTAGTAAATTTGAACCATGAGCCAGGCTTCTTATATCTTGAAACATTTTGCAGGCTTCGCAGTTTCGTGCTAGGGCATGAACGGCATTCAACGAGTTAATTTAGATACTACGAAGTTAATTTAACTAGTTCCTTACAATAACGTAACACTCCTTAGTAGCAATAAGCCCATTACAAGTACTTTTTTACATGTGAATTGTAGGTTAAATATGACTGATTGCAAATTATTTTATAATTTATAATGTACTTATTGTTAGAAAAATTGTGTTGGAATTCAGTGTTTTGTACGTTCGGTGTTATACTTGATAGACTATCATGACACTATTCAAATAATTTATATTTAATTAAGAAAAACGAGAAAATAAAAAATCACGAGAACTTTAATTATAAGTTATATATTTAAAAACAATGTAATCGACCTGTTATTAAATTTTAATTTTATGCTTGAGAATTTCTCATGTTTCATTTTCAATTTGTCTGTATTCAAAGCATTTTTTAACTACGTATAAAGTTACAATACTGTGTAAGTCGTAATTTTGTTAATTTTTTCAAGTAATCACGTTATTCTTATTCACTCAATGCAAGTGATTTCAAGAAAATGCATAAGTTAATTTTTGATCAACATTTTTCATCAACTAAAAAATACTGAATTATTGCTGATGAAAAAATGTTAAGCAAATCGAGTTTACGTTGATTCTAAGCAGCATATATACATCTACGCTGCCGTGAATGTATACAGATCTGGAAGTTAATGGTGACGAATGATCACATATGTACAACATACCAAGCGAATCTCTTGCGCTAGAGCTTTTCATCAAGCACGAAAGAAAAGCGCATGAATCTACGTGGACAGTCTAACGATCCTAATCTTACTCGTCCGGCCTTGATTCTCTCTCCGTCAAGCACGCATCATCCACGACACTGAATGGCCCGAGCAATTTAGAACCCAAGTGGCCAGTGGATATATTAAGTCTCGTACCCGAGTTTCTTCTTTTATTTCTTATCGTAGAGGCCTTTCGTCAGAAACCTTTGTTTATGATACATTCTTTAAATGTTATGTTTCGAGTTGAGTGATCGCCTGCAATGTCGACTGTTGATTGTTGTTTCGATAGAAAAATATTATGAAAAATATACTGCTGTTATACATACTTTATTAGATAAAACTAAAATTATCAATAACATCATTAGAAAGTGATTTTCATTTTGTCACAATAATCTCTTACGTTATCACGAATAAGTTTGAAAATTAGTTGTTATTTTTTTGGGCTTTCTTACTTTTTGCGTAATGCAGATAAATAAACGAACCGAAAGAAAGATATGTGAGCTATATATATATAAGGTATGCAGATTGCATATTACTACGCAATATTTAGGTGTCATAAGATATCACTATACCGAAAGGCTTGATCGCTAATTTTAAAAATATAAACATAACATTTGGATATTGTTGAATGTAAATCGATAAAAATTGAATTTTCATTTGAATAAATGCGGTATAACAATATACAACCAATAATATAAAGTTGGAATACTTGGAATTATTTAAATGCACTGAAAAAATTTATTTACATAATTAAACAAATTTTATTTAGATTACAAATTGAATTGAAAAAAAATATGACACTTAATACTATAAACAAATTTAACAAAATATGTCAGCTCTTTTCTAAATTTATTTTTTTGCGTCTGTATTTATATATAGTTACTTATATTAAGTTTGTTGGCACTTGAATTTAGAAAAATTTGTCGTCTCAATTTGTTTTTAATTATCTATTTCAAACTTGAAACCATATTATAAGTAAAGCAAGGCTGAGTGAATAAACTGTATTAGGGTACAATCACTTTGGTTTTTTAATTTACCGTTCTGATGTCGTTCGATACTCTATGATAGAAAGTCATAAATCGAGATGCAACGATTAGATTTTTGAACCAATGCGACACACGTCAAAGTTTATATCACACGTTTCCATAAAAATAGTGCATTATATACCGAAGGAGTACAATGAGTAATGGACGCAATGTCTGATGTTGCCGACCGAGCGAAACGAGGTCAGCATTTCACTCAGTGTGTATTTGCCTACTGTACTCTCGTGTGTGCGTATATAATGTTTTAAGGCACCTTCTCATAGTGATGATCGTTTATCCTAAGGCGCGAACGATCAAATTAATACAGAATATTAGTTCGAGTGTCTTTTCATTTTTCTTGCAATATTCAAAGGAAAAACGCATGGTAGAAATATGACCAAAAAGTACAAGTAAATCTAAGAAATCAAATCGTTTTCAGTAGCTAATCATATTTTTTCAAATAATAATAATATTTTCGATTCACGAGTGTCAATAAAAGATTAATTTTTTTACAATAAGGTAAAACTCTTATGAATGATGCAATTCGACTTATGTGAGTACTATTTTCTTTCTTTTTGTTAGATTTTTTTGTTAATTTTTGCGTAAGTAATAAAAATTTTAAACAAGATGGTTCCTCTCTTCGAGACTTACAATGTCTTCTTCATCGTAAATTTAGCACTCCTTTGTAGATTGAGACAATTTATTATTGCTAATAAGTGGTAGTACGAACTTGACGCTAGGCCGGAAGTGCTAATGCACTTGACCGCTACATAAGAATAATTTGAAGCTAGGCAATGTGAATATAAAACGATTTCGGAATAAAACTTTTTTGGTAAATTACACTGATGGTATACAAAAGAAATTTGGATAGATAGTATAAGATCTATATACATTGTATTGATGAAATACGCGGAATGCTGACTTAAAGATTACACCAACTGATTATAAACTATATCAAAGTATCGATCGAGAGAACATAGCTATGTGTACCAACTGATCTCATTTAGATGGAGGTCTCCCACAAGCGGCAAGAGGAGATAGTTCGTCTGCAGCTAACAAAATTCTGGCAATTAACTAACTAACGACTATTAACGAATGGTCGTTTAGAGCGCTATTAGCAATGCAAGAACGGTTGAGGCAGGTGTCTCCGTCGCTGCATCGGTCGAGAGAAGGACGTAAGCTTTAAATTTAATCTGATTATAAGACCACATTGATATTACAAGATATCAAACATACACTTAAAAAAATACCGATATCATTACAACTGGCGTCCGAATGTTTTCACGAATAAAATCACCTTTGACTTAGTTACAAATTGATTGCTAACTTATCTCAAATGTAAAATCCATTTTTATTCTAAACATCATATTTAGTTCAGAAAAGTATTTTAAAACTTACCTGACACGTAAAAAGATAAATTTTAAGTTTACATCTCGCATAATATATTTTTTCTTGTCTTTTACACTATTAAAATAACTGTCATGTCTTCGTCTTCTGGAGCATGTAGTTCTAAAATCTAGCTACAATTGACATCGTCTTGAGAGCTCCATGAGGTGGATGAACTACAACTGTAACAATGCGTTTTATTCATGTTTCTTGGTTAGATTATATATAGGTATACAGGCAGTGTCGCACGCACACTAGTGCTCATTAAGTTACAATGGACTCGAGAGATGTAAAAAAAGTGGACCCCTTGAAATTGCGGGTTCTATTCTTGCAATTAGTGCACGCGTTAGTCTCGAGCTCGCCGGTTCACCTTATATGATCGTTGAACTCCCGACGCTTTATTTTTCTTATCGGTACATATAAATCCGATGGCGCCACTGGATTATCGTTTGGTTTATTAGCAATTGGAAAGTTTTTTTTCAGTGAGTATTCGCATCAAGTTATCTTCTTATTAAAATAAATATTATCGATAAAAAATCACTTTTTTATCATTAGTGAATATACACATTTCACGAGTATGACTTATCGATAGGAGATTACCGAGAGTCAATATTAATTGGATGTCTGTACCGATAGTAACGAATGAAAAATCAGTTGCTTCAAATTCTTCATCGCTTCAATTGCACACTTGGGAACTTATCATGGCTTGTCTGCAAATTATTTTTTCACCGTCTTTTCTGCCATTGAAATTATCTACGTGAAAACCGATTCAGCAAACCCAAACACTGTAATCGTCACTTTTAAAAATCACGCGAGCTTAGTAAACACACCTGCGCGCAAACGGAATTTGGAAGAGATTCAACGAATGAAACCAAACAAATCATTTTAGTTAAACAGCAATAAAAAGACATCTCTCTCGCGCGTACGCATTATCAGTCGCCATCGACGTCACAACATCGCGCGCGCCCAAGAGCAAAAGTCCATAGTCGCTTTGCTAAGAAGGAGAGGGATTCTTGAAAGCGCGCGATTCTTGGCGGACATTCAGTAGACGTAGTGCGGGCTGTGTTTTCGGATCATCTACGTTAAACAAACATACATACAGTCTTCCGCTCTTCGGCATGGCCATAAAGACTGCTAGCGCGTGGCTTATGTGAGGGAACTATAAATCCGTCATTGGACACGAGGTGCGAGCTTTTTGTATCTGAACTCTGTTGAACAACTTTTTCCTGAATTTTTTCTCATTGGTTGATAGACTCTTGCGGATATTCGGTTGATATTTGTGTTTCTTAATGTGCAATAAAATTGTTTTGCATAATAATTAATTTCAATATAATTTGTGCAATATTTTAAATGACAAATGACTTATCAGTTTTCGAATGAAATTTTTTTAATTTACAAAACACTTCCGATCAGCTTAACATGTTAATCATTATATTTTATTAACGCAAAGAAAAGACATCATGTAGAAGTTATTAAAGAAATCGAATGAAGTAAAAAAAGCGACGTGAAATCAGATTGCAATAAAAACAAAGTCGTATTTCAGCGTTCATGTGTGTAAAAGCTCAGTGGTCGCGTGCAGTACGATCACGTCAGAAGCATACAGCATTGCACTGAACTAGTGCTTTTCATTAGTGATCCTTTATATGCCCTCAGTGCAATCTTTTGTGCATTCGACTTTTTCAAGTGAATAATCAATTTGAATATGCCGGATTTGTAAATTCAACTGCTAATAGGATACGCGTCTTGCGGAAGAATATAAATGAGAAAAGATTTCATCTTTCGCCAAGTCAAAAAGTGCTTTAATACGAGTGAGTCGGTCAAGTAGCAATTAGTGAATTCGGTCACAGGTAATGTTTCTTATTCAGTTCTTATTCATATTATGTCAGCCAATTTCACGATTTATTTGAAAATTCGAATAAATTTTATTTTATAATTATCGTATCATGGAAAATATTTTTGATCTCAAAAGTATATCTTTATTTATCAGTAAACTTATTATTCGTAAAAACTATTCATTTTACTTTAATCGTAAAATCATTCAATGTTAATCAATATTAATAAATATCAGATAAGGACTCAACAAGAGCGACATTTACGTATAAAACTTTGCTACAACGTCCATTTCGCGTTGCTTATTCATATTCCCTAATGAATCGTCGAAAATTCGTTTACTCATTTCACGCTTTGTCGTTGTAGACGCTTTGATAAAGGAGGTGCCGATGCATAAGCGGCCATACGATGCCGGCACCAGATACCAGCTGAGAGTCCGTAGTCGACCATACATTTGCAAGGACTATTTGGCGAATATTAATTTAGGTAAAATAAATCATAATTATTTATGTACTTCAAATATTTATTTATCTAATATTGATTCGGTTATATTTTCAAACGCATTCTTTTATTTATTTTTTAAATATCATACCAATTTTGAATTGTTCAATTTATTCAGAAAAATGAAGAACTTAAATGAAAATAAAGTATTGAACCATGAAAATGGCCCAGAAACGAAAAGACTATTGAATATTTCCACAACGCCAGTGACTCCACTTCCAAGTCCTAAGCCTCCAACAAGCGTCGTTGACGATGTATTTCGACAATTACCAATTACCGAAGAAATATCTTGCGGGATTTGGTGTTTCCGCGGTCCCCTTCTTCAAAGGTTTGCCAACAAAAAAGTCTATGTGTTTCTATATGGAGTCCTTGGGTGTATTTTCTCTGCAAGTTATGCCTACTTTAATGGCACGATTACTACCATTGAAAAAAGGTTCAAAATCCCATCAAAAACAACAGGTAAGTTGAAAAATTGATCGGCTTTTATAAATTTTAAATTTTTTCTTAAGTCTTATGGATTTGAATTTATTAAAGATGAAAGACAAGTTTTTACTTCTATTTATTTTCAACAATTAATTGCTAATGAAAGATTATCTTAATAACAATTACGAAAACAGCTCAAAAAGAATTCTATTTATAACTTTATCCAAATTGCGTGTCATTACAAATAGGACGCACTTGTTACTGTGGCAATAGGTCAGGTCATAATTATCAATTACTCCTTTCATAGACGTGAAGGTGAATAAAATAAGAACTAAATCATGTTTTGTTCGACAGGCTTCATAACAGTAGGAAACGACATATCGCAGTTACTTGTGTCAGTGGTGCTCTCATATTACGCAGGCAAAGGTCACAGGCCTAGATGGATCGCTTTTGGTATTTACACGGTAAGATTTATTAAACTAACGTCTCTGTATTTTCAACAATAAGAAAAAATCAACATTAAAAAGTCATCGCAGGATATACATTCATTGGACTTTTGATGTAGGTAATCAAAAGTTGTTATAAATAAAAAAGTACTTATAGGCAAACAGTTAAGTATAAAAAAAAACTTTTCACTTACAATTAAGCAATGAACTTATAGCAGTACGAAGATTTATATACTTAATAACAGTCTACGTACTAGGTTCTGCCTAATGTATAGGATATCAAATTAAAAATTTTGTTTTTAATTGAATCATGGAGTCTGCATATATAGAGTTAAAAAACGATTACATAGAATTTCATTGACGTCTACTTACCATTAGCTCATGCATGTCATACACATATCATGTAAGCCTAAGCAGAGCATGTAAGACACCTTCGTCGAGGTGCTCGAGTTACGATCACCGTCTCTTAACAAAAACTTGCGTAGGTGATAATGCCATCAAAGATCTTGGTCTCTTATCGATTAGTAGTATTTGCCACATTACTGCTTCTATGTGTCAGAATCGCTTAAGTATAAGCTTCTTTTTAGAAAGAGATACTGGATTTTTATTAAATATCGGAGTTACGAGTACCTGCGTCAAACGTCTGAAATTTTTCTTCGTATCAAATTCTATCATTATTAATAACTGATAAAGAGTTTTCAATATTAGTCTTCCCTGCGTATAAAACAACAAAGGTTACTTTATTAATGCGTGTCTAACGCCTTGTTTTTTATAAAACAACAAAACAAGGCATTAATGCGAAAGATCTCAATAAACCAATAAATCGAAAATTTTTAAATAATATCGCTTATTGCTGCACAACGGTAGCTGTCAGTTAGTATATAAATTATTTTACTAATGTTAAAAACTAATCTTAAAAACGCACCTACGGTGCTCTATTTCGGTTACAGAGCAAAAACTACTCCGTTCACTAAAAGACCTCTCTGCTACTAGATTATAAGTAACTAATTACGATATATATCAAAACAAACTTAAACGCTTTAATTTGATGGATATTCTAGGTGGTGTTGTTTTGTTGCTTGACCATGCTACCACACTTTTTATACGGACCAGGTGAAGACGCCCTTGTTTTAACCAAGGAGTACGGCCCAAAACTTCAAACATCAAACCTATCAGACTTGACGATTGACGAATTGCCAGAAAAGCAACGTAAATTTCTTTGTCTAAATCGTACAAATGACCAGTACTGCGAAGAAGAGGAAGGCAACTTTGCACCTCAGGCGTTACTTTTTATAGCTCAACTTGTCTCGGGCATCGGTGGATCTTTATATTATACTCTTGGGGTCTCTTATATGGACGATAACATACAGAAATCTAAGACGCCAGCTCTCATTAGTTTTTCTTATTTTTTGAGGATGTTAGGTCCAGCAATTGGATATGGACTAGCATCTTTTGCGCTAAAATTTTATATCAGTCCTACTCTTACACCGACTATTACTATGCAAGATCCGAGGTGAGTGACTCATGTGTTTGTTCAGTATTTTTTAAAACTAAATGTGCTAGATATGCGGAACCAATTGCAATAATCTGGCGTCTTTGTTATCAGCCGCAATATCAATGGCAGCACTGGGTAGCAAATGATAAATTTATTTGTTTCGATTTTTTAGTGTCACTTCAAATCATCGAATCATCGTAGCTACGTTCTATACGTGTTCTACAAATAAAATTTTATTAAATTATATTATATTATACATTTATAATTTTACTCGCTATTTTGCAATTTTTATTTTTATTTTAATTAGGATATATGGTTCATGGTATATGTTTAAAAATCTATAAAGGTAACACTCACAATACCAAACATATAAATGTTTATTTAAAATAAAAATTCAAACTATGGCTAGAGTCACTGTCCAGATAAGAGTAATATATACAATAAAAAAGTATATGATAAGTTCAAATCAGACTAAAAATAATAAACTAGACATAACATCGATTAAATTTACGAATGGCAGATAAATAATATCATATTAGACACGATGATTCAATGCTATACGAGCGGTATATTTCAAAAAATGATTTTATCATACAAAATTAACCAATAAATTTTACTTTTACAAAAGGTGGCTAGGAGCATGGTGGCTTGGCTGGATAATCCTAGCAATTCTTTTATTCATCTTTGCTAGCATCTTGGCCTTGTTTCCAAAAACTTTACCTCGTGCTGCAGCTCGTAAGATATTACGAAATAAATCAGCGGCTAGTTTTACAGACAAACAACAAGAGCAAGAGCTTCCTGCATCTTTGAACGATATGATACGAACATTCAAACGATTGTTAACAAATACAACTCTCATGTGCAATAACTTGGCTGCTGTGTTCTACTTTATGGGTTACATGCCATATTGGATTTTTATGCCCAAGTATATTGAGACTCAGTATAAACAATCTGCTTCTGCATCATCTCTCATCACTGGTACAGTTGGTCTTGTCTTCAGTGCTTTTGGCATTCTTCTGTCAGGATTGATTATCTCCAAATATAAGCCGAAGGCTAGATATCTTGCTGCATGGAATGTGGCGGTTGGTGCAATATCAATTTTTGGTATGATCTCGTATGCCTTTCTGGGTTGTCCTGCTAACGACAATCAAATTGCAGTCGATAGTAGTGGAGCTTTGAAGACTTTTTTACCTTGTAATGAACAGTGTCATTGCGACTATGTTACCTACAATCCTGTCTGCTCAACGGATAGATACACTTTCATATCAGCATGTCATGCTGGATGTAAAACTGTCAAGGTAAAAAATTTGAATTGCGATATCGTAGTCTGAAAAGTTATTAGATGTTAACATGAATATTTTTGAGTCTTTTGAAAACTTATATAACTAAAATATCGATTCTGTTTTAGTTCGATGGTCGAGGGAGAAAGATATACTCGGATTGTAGTTGTGTCAAACCTAGTCTTCCTCAGATTTTTAACCAAATTACACAAAATGAAACCCTAACAATTTCATCAAGTGATACTATAAATCATCTACAAGCATCATCTTCTTTAAATTTTACTACTCCTGGAGCTTGCGAAATAGACTGCCTGGATAAATTTTATATATTTTTAGCTGTCGTCTGTCTTTTGAAATTTAGTGGAGCTACAGGAAGAGCATCAAATTTTCTTGTCTCTGTAAGATGTGTAGAAGATAAAGACAAGACGGTTGCAATGGGTTTCAGTTTAACAATTATGAGTCTTTTTGCATTCATACCATCACCCATTCTTTTTGGATTCATACTCGGTTAGTGGAATTCAGATTTGTGTATTATCAATCATAAATGACTACCATAAATCTTCTCACTTTTATAGATAAAACTTGTCTTGTATGGGGTAAAACGTGTACTGGCACCGGGAATTGTTGGTTGTACAACGGAGAAACACTGCGTTACCTTTTAAATTTTACAGCAGCAAGTAAGTATTTCTGTTTTGTAAAAGATTAATGCATATTGATTATTGGATAAAATCTTGAATGGTGATAATAATTTGTATTCAAGGCTTCGTTACATTGGGTACGCTGTTTGATGTCGGTGTGTGGTATTACGTAAAAGATGTCAAAATATTTGATGAAGAAGTTGAATTAGAAAATATTAACGAACAGCCTAGTAATACGTGAAAAAAAATATAATTTTGTTATTGGACAATCAATGTTATAAAATCATTACTAGTCTGAAATATCAATGCAGGAAAACAATTTATTTCCAGATACTTCACCGGAAGATGTCACCAATTAAAAATTATTATTACTATTTTTTACTGAATTTTATACCGAATTTAAAAAACGTTTATAAAAGATTGGTGAAAAATGTCACTGAATGTTATTTAATTTAAAAATAAATGAGTTTATAACGGATGATAAGGTGTATGAATACGAAAAATTTATTTGGATAAAATATAAATATATAAAAGTGTTAAAAGAGGCACATTAATGTAACTACATGTACTACACCTTATTGTACTATTAACGTTTTATCACTTAATTTTAAAAAATGTAATGGATGACATTTTATATAATAATTATTTTCCAAAGCTCTTAATGAATGACATGATATATTTGGCAGTATACTAGAAGTATATTTTTAAATTAGGCAGTATATTTTTAAATTCATAGGTCTGTACAAAGAGGACCGCCTTTCTTCTTCGGTGATAATGATTGACTCGATAGTGACGATTTTGAACTTAAACTGTCTCTTGAGTCTTCTCCGTGTGATTGCATTCTTTCTCGCATATCTTGGAGACTTCCAAATCCTGATGAAGCCTGGTCTCTAGATGGTGGTCTAAGACCGTCGGGTGAATAATTCATAGATTGCATTAGTTTTTCCAATCGAAATTTGTGATTTTCTTCATCTTCTTCGGAGTTACTTTGTATTTTGGGTTGATATACAAAACGAGTTTGTTCAAGTAACTCACGACTTGAATTTCTATCGAGATGTTGGATAGCCATCATTATTGTAGGCGATCGAAGTGAGCTGGTTGAACCCTTAACAGTACTTTCGTAGGATTCTACTAAAGGAATCCCTACTTCATTAAAGTCTCCTCTAGATGCTGATAAGGACTTGTCTTTATTCTCTTTAGGTTTTCTTGTAAACTCTAAGCTGTTAGTTTTAACAGAACCATCAGCAGCAGGATTTGGACTGTTATTTCTTGATATTCTTTCAGCTCGTAGATCCTCGTAATTAGCTGGATTTGGGAAACGCATGTTTGAAAATGGTGGATATATTTCTTGAGGAGATGTTAATCCAAGAAACGCTGCTCTACTGGCCTCGATGCTTGGGATACGTTTTCTTGCAGATTCATTTAATTCGCATTCTGAATCTGAATCTACTTGTAGTGGCTTATAAGACACTTGATCAGTGGAGATTTTTGTTGCATTTTGGCTTCCATCGGAACTATCCAAATCATCATCAGTATCGGCATTAATATTATGAGGTTGATTTTCAGTAACTCTTCGAAGACCTGGTCCAATGGGTCCATATTGCAATTTTGATTCTGATGTTTCTCCTTCAACCGCATCAGTAATTGGACCGTTTTCTCTGCTTTGTTTTTTGTGTTCTATAATTACCATTGGTTCAATGTGACTGTCGACAGTTTCTAAAATATTTAAATAAAATTATTATTAGCAGAAATATCCACTGTCTATATAGACAAGTAATATGTGGTTTTCAATTGACCTATTGATTGCGCTTCCATAGGCTCGTCAGGTTTGGATTGTAAAAGCGGTTGTTGAGTTTGTGACATTTCCTTCATTTCTTGTAGTTGTTGTTCCTCTACTACGATAAGATCGTAAATTTCAAGGTCTCTGCAGAAAAACCATACTCCAATTTTTAATAAAGCACTGATAACAATAAGACCAGCTGTTAAGAAGCATAAATAATATCCTAGGCTCGACGAATGTAAATGACAGACGCTATTGCCGATTCCCCAATGCACGCAAGCTGTCTTAGCTAATTCGTCATAAGAAATTTTACCGAGAATATAGGCAAATAAACCTAAGAACATTAAACCGTATCCTATTGTAAGTGCTTTATCTTGTGGATTAATACTTCTTAAACTTATTAGTAGATCACCAATTATTGTGGATGAAGCTGTGGCGTAAATAATTACAGTAAAAAGCTGAAAATATATTGACAATTATTTTTTCCTAATAAACATCATTACTGCTAAAAAAAAGTTACAAACTTCATATACAATCCATCCCATTTGACATGAATTAGACCCACATGGTCCGTCGTGTGCCTCGCCATCTATCAACCCTGTCTTCTCTTGAATACATGAACAATTGCCGTACATTTTATTGTCACCGTATGTTACAGTTGTACATCCAGCGTGGCAAGGGCTATAGTAAGTATTACTACCTATTTTATCGCAAATTGGTCGGAAGTCGGCATCCTGAGAACATCGACAATCTCTATTACAGTACTCTGGAAGTGACAATCTAGAATGTCATAAATCATAAATATATTTCTATATTGACATTTCTCTTATATTTTATTACATTTATTCAAAACTTAAAAAATAATACTTACGATCCTCTTACTTTATAACCAACAATTGGTGGTTTTTCGCAATTATTAAAAGCAAGAGAAAATATAACTAAAGCTGAAATACCCAATATAATAAAATCGTAGACGATTAATGTTCTCACATTTGGTTTAACACGAGCAATTACTAAACCAGCAATTATTACAGATAATCCAACTATGAATGGCTTCAATATCGCTATATAATATTATGTATCATTAAGATTCAAATGTAGCATATATGATATATTCATCGATGAAATTTATTTGAAACTACGCTTACTTGTAAGAGTGCGTGAAAGTAAAGGATCTTCAAACCCCATTAATATTCCATTTGGTCGAGGAGCATAAAATCGTGATTCAAGGTAAATATTCTCGTTTACCATAAAATTAACCAATGCCGTTACAAAAAATACTACTGCGAGAATATTGAAGATCAGAATTTTATTTGTGAGCAATCGAATCATTGATGGTAGGAATTCTGGACTTCCAACTTTCTTCACTGTTAATCTTTGTGAGCGTCTCAGTGTACCGGACTGATCTAAAATTGACGCTGCAGTTTCTTCAACCAACTGAAAAATATAAAAACATTCTGGTCATATAATGGTTTATAAAGTTTTATTATTGATGAAAATTTTTAATAAATTTATAAAATTTTTATAAACCTCAGATGGTAGTTTTCTTGGAAAAATAGCCATAGGTACAGCTGGTAACATTAGCAAAAATGCAAAAATTGGCCATCCAAGCCACCAAGCGCCTATTTGACTTCTATATGACGTTATTAAATGAAGACTGTTTGCATCTATTCTACGGATATAAAAAGTAAATGTTAAAAATCCGATTATTCAGAATTTGTTAAAAATAATTTACCGTAAGAATCCCCAGCCGACCATATATCCTAATATACTTCCTAAAATCCTGATGCCTAATATGAAACCAAGATAAACAGCTATCTGCTCTTTTTTAGAATTGTCATCAAGATACGATATACCTAAAGCATAGTAAGCGACATTAGCTATTCCCGTAATTATTTGTACGATGACTAAGATGGAAATTGTTGTGTAGAGAGGTGCATTTTTTATGGTAAGGAGTTTGTCGAACATTTTCATGCAAAGATCTGGACTCTCTTCTGTAACATAAAAACAATAAACATAATTAAGTAAGAATATGAGCCATTATCTGAATTCAATAATTATGTTTGTTGTTATCGTGTAGTCAAAGCTACATAACTTTAAAATTTCTCTATTATACCAAAATTATATTCGTTTACAAACTCAGTTTACCTGAATACACTGTTGGCATATGAGTGACATTGGTAGTGTCTTCGATGACTTTGACCGATGAGTGCGATATATGAGGAATAATGAGCGAAAGAAGTGCAGCGCATTGGATGAGTGTTAGACCACCCAACCATGATGCTCTGTGAATTTTATCTCCCCAGTAAGCCACAGCGAGTCCGATGATGAGCGGAACTATTTCCGAAAGGTACAAAATCCATTCTAGAATTTGAAAAATTAAATGACGGTTATATGATTAACTTAAAACTGTTCATTGAAATGTCGTCAGTCGTAAAACACATATCTTATCAATGTACTAACCCATTAAATATGGATCAATTAAGAATCTCCTAGCAATGCTGGAGCTGACGACATAAAGATAGGCTTGTGATGTAGCTTGCAGAAAACCAATGGTACATAATAAACTAAGGAAAACTCTTCGCGTTGCGAATTTCGCTAGTTGAGGTAATTTATAACCACCGCAGCCGCAGTCTATTGATTCGGGCGTAAGAGAATTTGCTGGCCCTGACAATTCACCTTCCACTTCTGTACGTACAACTTCTTGCGGTCTCAGCGTCATTTTTTCTATAAAAGACCAATACGAATTATGCGTCACTTTATTCTACTATGCAGAATATCACAATATTATATTAAAGCTATATAGAATATAAAATAATAAAAATAAAAAATTCGTGATATATTTAAAAATAATAAAGGTATGTTTCAAATAAGACAAGTTGAACAAATCGCACGTAAACTTTGAATAGACTGCTCTAAAGTTTTTCATAATCACGGAAGTGAAAGCAAGATATCTGAGCCATCGTTTATCACGCAACAATGACAAAAAACAGGTCATCGTACTAGTTTTACAGGCACACGCACAAAAACGAAAAAAAGAAAACGCAATCTCTATATAGAATGACTCAAAAACACTGCTAAGAATCTTCCAATTGTGTATTATCTATCTGTCGGTTTGTGACTCATTGTGCGTTACGCTGGATTGCACCTTACCGCCGGTGTACATGAACGCGCGGCATCGGATTTTGCTCTATTTTTGTTCGCAAATCCACAGCGATAAAAATGCGTACAATGATCGTCATGGCGATCAATGAAAGCACGCATTACTTATTACTCGTTATCGTAAAGATTTAATCGTTAACACTCTCGACGATGTGGTGTATTATTGCCTGTTGGTTAAATAAAATATGTAAGAGTAATTGGAGCGGTGGCCAGTATTATTGAACATTAGTGTTTGTATTTTGGGGAACAATCAATTTAGTTAATCAATACACTGTAAATCCATTAATAAAGCAACCTTTGATATCACATAAAACATAATGAACAATTACTCACCTCTTTAATGCTTATTGTATCCGATGTATAGGTATTGCACTTACTTTTCAATAACAATATAAAAAGCTCTAACAACCACTTACATATTGTAGTTGGTAGTAAAGGTAAACTATACTGTTGAAAAAGGCCATCGGCACCTAACTCCACGCCCGACCATAGTCGGCAACCAACGCGCCGCTCGTTATCTCGAGATAACAACGCGCACGGACTCCGATATATCTCGCGAGTTCTGATAACGAAGAGAGAGAGAGAGAGAGAGAGAGAGAGAGAGACGCGCCTAGATGTGCGTGTGGCGCTGCAATCACCTGTGCTTGAGTGAATCGAGGGCAACATACCTTTGTGACGTAATTGCGAAGAGACACCATTTCTACATATGTACTGGCATATTCCTGTGAATGTTAATACGAGAGAAAATGTTGATGAGAACGTTATTAATAATGAATTATATACTGTATTAGCTTGTATTCCAGCTACTTTACATGCATAGCAGCACACCGTTTAATATTGTGAGACACCACGGTACTACGTATAAATTATTACTTTATGTATATACTTAAAAAACTGGTCCTGGCAAACGAAATTGTAAGTGCAGGTAGGACTCTCACATATAGCATGTACCGAACGCAATGTCAGTTCATAAGAGATCAGAAAAACTAATCGCTGTTCGTCGATAAATTTAAATTGCATATGAAGCACGTTGTAAATGTTTTTATTTTATTTACACGTCATTTTTTATGATTATTTTATGAAGGCACTTTTAAGCATTAGGACTTTTCTCGTATATTTGCAGCAGTATAATAATAAAAAATCAATGAAATAATTTTTTCTGAGTATAAGGATAATAACTGAGCGATTTTTTAGTGTACGTACGCTTGTGCTTAAAATTCTAAATGATTGGAGAGCTGGCTTACTATGTAGAAAATCAAAGTGAATGTTCTCTTGATCGAATTAATGATGGTAATAATCATGTATTATGAAATATTGAAAGATTATAAGTTATAAGACGAATAAGTCGGTAAGTAAAATTGATATTCGGGTCAAAGTCGAAAATTCTTTGCTTATAAAGTCTAACATAAAACAAACTGTCTCACTTTAAATCAGGCTATAACAGTCAATTAGAACTAATCACAGCATAAGTTTTCAAACGTATAGACATATTTTCAGCCGTGATGCCCGTGACACTAAAAAAGTAATCTATATCATCAGTTAATCCAGCCTAAGAGAAGTAAGTTGTTAAAAAGAATTTTGATTGGGACTTATTGGAGCTTCCGTTGTTAGTTTCAAGAAAAAATTGTCAAATTATTTTAGTACAAAACTTCTAAATGTAAAAATTTATATTGTTATTCATAATCTGTATCTGATTTAAGTATATTACGTAATGCAAATCCAATCCATGCCAAATATTTAGCATTAGCTGATTTATCGTTACATCCCTGTCTGGCATTTTTAATACTGTGCCAATATCATATTTCCGTTATAAAAGATGCTTTCACCTTGATGCGCTCAGTACTAATATTTTATTTCATATAATTCGACTGAAAGAGATCCCATGAACACCAGCTGCGGTTAAACTCTTGTTAAAAGTGACATTTTTGCAATAAACTACCTCATAAACGTATAAAAACATTAAAATTAACAATTGACAGTTATCACCATGACAAAGATTTCTTTTCGAGACACGCGTCATGTTTCAGCAGAATCTATTGACTTAGAGATTCAACCTATTCCTTGTTCATTATCATAACTTATGTTCTCAAAAACGAATATGTTGCTTGCTAAATCTTGTATTTCTCAATCACAAATTAAAGGCGTCGTTCTTTCTTACTTAACATGGTTTTTGTTATTAATTGACATTTTTATGCTTTATTATTGTCCACGCTCGATGAATATAATATTAATATTAGATGTTTGCCACTTCCAAATGTTTTGAAATTCAAGATATAGAAGAAATAATCTGCCCAAATCTGTCGGTCCTTGTTTATCACAAATAGACACAGGTAACCTCTATTTGAAATTATTTGTATTCCGGTTTCATTTTGATTGTATCACCTACAAACATATTTGTGTATACAGCGATAAGAAGAAATGAATCAATTCTCGTGCGAGCGTGATCGGTGTATAGTCTTGAAATAAAAAAGAACTGTCAGTTCGCCGAGCGAAGGAGTTACCCGAAAAAAGCACACTTAAGCTACGTAGCCGTAAGAAAATGACGAATGCCAATTAGCATATGAAAAGCCCTCCTCGGGTCGCGGGTCAGCCTCTTGGCAAGGCGATCACGTTTTTGAATATTAAGGGCGGGATTACGCGGAGAGCTTAGCGCGCGAAATTTAGTCCTCCGTCGCCTTTCTCTGTCGCGAAGCGTTAGAAGAAAAAAAATCGCCCTTAAGTCCCCGCCGACGACGAGCCATCGTCGTCGTCGTCGTCGTCGTCGTCGTCGTCGTCATTCTCATCGTCTTTTTCCTTCGGCTTCGTAGTCTTCGTCTGCGCGCGCGACCAGTGATTAATCTGAAAAATATGCTAGTTGCTGTACAGCTTCGTTGCGCGATCATTTTTCATGCTTTTGTCGGCGAAAATCTTGCAACGATGACTGGAAGCCGGAATAATATGGTTCTGCAGTACGTCTCGTCGCAATTCATAAACGTATCTTCAAAATAATACATATTCAAATCTCTCGTCTGATAATTAAAAGTCAAAATTGTCCGTACATACGAAAGCCATTCAATCAAGTTTCAATACTCGTCGTCAACTCTAGCGCATCCTTTTCGCAAATGTGATGAAAGCTCTCGCCACGCGGAACACTAAAAAAAGAAATCTCTCGTGGAAGAAACTGCGCTCTGTTTCTCTCTGTTTTACGCCGATAATTAAACTGACCGCGCGCGCCAAAGGAGATGGCGCTTTTTGCACCAAGACCATACCCACCCCTTTTGCCGATATGTTGACGCTACAAATATTTAGAGGGCGAATGCGCAACCGGTCAGCGATGTTATTAGTAAATTAAGCGACATCAAAGAAGCGCACCTCGCTTACTTCGCCTAATGGAAAGCTGCCTCTCTCGCTCTCTCTCTTACTCTCACATAGTCCTTCATCAAATAGACGATTTTATCGAGGGCACGCGACCTGATGATGACTTATCTATAGGTTGACATTTCCTTTAGAACTTATGGATATTGCGATTTTAAGAGTAATATGATGCATGTTTGCTTGATATATGTAGCCGAGAATATTTCAATGCTAGTTTAAGGATTTTTCGTTCTGCATGTACATATGTCGAGGCAATTATTTATAATTGAAAATTGAAATGACATACTGATTATTCACAAAGCGAAGTATTAAAATTTTGAAAGCGTTTACGTCATATTTTGATGTTTGTTTTTAAAATATTTGCGAGTTCAGACGTGATGCCTACTATTTGCAAAGGCCATTACGAGCAGAAATACGTTTGCAGCGAAGCATTTCATCACAATTATGTAGAATGTTACTTATTCTTTTTTCATACGAATAAAATAAAGATAATCTTAAAGCTACCATGCAACTAATTCCTCCAGTAAATCAATGTTAGATGTAAACCCTTAGCTAACTAAGAAGAAAAACTCCCCGAGATCGTCACGCAGTCGAAAAAGTAAAAGAAAAAAAAACTTAATGACTAAATCCCCTGACCCCCTCTTCGTAATTGTAAAATTTCTTCTAAGACTCGTGCTTAATCCTTGAAGCGAAGTAGCAAGCAAAAAAATCACAGATTAAGTGCTGCCCCGGACCCCGTTCCCCGGCGTAACGCTCGATTTTTTAATCTCCCGGTAAATATCGTTGCCGCCCTTTTTCTCTCGATCCATTTTCTTTTGCTCTCTCTCTCTCACTCTCTCTCTCTCTCTCTCTCTCTCTCTCCGCCCGAGCCATCAAAGGAAGAACCCATTTAAAAACCTCATCAATGCCTAAGCCCCAATGCTCTCTTGCCGTAAGGAACTAATCCCTCCTATTTTAACGCGCTTCGGACGACGACGACGACGACGACGACGACGACGACGAAGACGCGCACTTTTAAGAGTAAGACTCTTGCCGCGCGGTTCTCGCGGATGCGCCTTTGTTGGCGGATATAAGAGTTTTATTATTTCGCAAGCCTCTGCTGAGCTAAGGAAAAGTTGTGAAAAATTACTCGGACGCACTTTACTCAAGAGATGATAGCTAAAGACCTCGGACTTCATTTTTATAGTTCCTTATGACGTATTTTTCTTGAGGCTTTTTCTCTACAGTTTTACGGCGAACGTTCTACTTTTGCACTTATTACATCGATTAAGTTATTACTGTGACATAAGGTCACATCATTTGTATTTTAAATCGCCACATAGATGTCTAATTATTTCAATTTAAATGTTATCATCGAAAGAAACTTTCTTGGAAGAAAGTTGTGAGATGTCTAAAGTTGTGGCGTGGATAATAACTGTTTAGTTTTAAAAGTAGACGTAATCATTTATTACAATCACAATCGCTTATTCAACCACTATACGAGTACGTCACACAGCACAGTAATGATTTTACTCCGGAATAAATAGTATAAGTTTGAAAACCGCTCTACTTGTGTGTTTTTACAACGAAGAAAGGTTAATACCTCAGATTTACAAAAAAATTAACTTTATTGATAGAGTCAGTGAAAATTGATTTGGACGGCTGATGTGACATCAAATCGAAGTTCGGAGCGTAATCTGTTTTATAATGCGAAATAAATGAATTTGTGTTAGAAGCTCCTGGACAAAGAAAAACTATATTCAGACATTTGAATATTCAGCACTTTCCTCCCTCCTTTAAGAAGGATGAAACAGTTTTCTTGACTTTCTTTGACTACGAAGAGTGTCATAGTTTCATAGGTGGCTTCTGTTGCACTGGAATGGCTTGCTGACTAATTAAAGGTTTAAATGGAGGTGTGGAAAAGACTTCAGGTAACCGTTAGAGATATTCACGTGGAGTCTGAGAAGTTTCGACCCTTACAGGAGCAGATGATCTTTATAATTTCTTTTGAAGAAGTATTAGAACTAATTGTAAGGAACATAGTAGAAATGACGCTTGCATGAAACATATTTGTTATAGATTTTTTGCTTTTACAGCTAATTGTCAAAGC